TCGCTCTGTAAAAATCTGCAATCTGCCGTTTTATGTCCGTGGTCGTTATGTAACTCGAACCAATGATCAGGATTGCGCCTATTTGGATTCGATCTCATTTCCTTTGGCCATCGTACCTTATCTCCCATGCTTCTCAAAACAGCTACGAGCTCGGAGGTGCTGACATTGAAGTTGTAACCACTGAACCTTGCTTTTAAACTTCGATCATCATCTCGCGACTTATGGTTGTTTCGCTCGTTTCTATATCTTGATGAAGAACCTGATTCTCTGTTTCTAGATTTATGATCGTACCTTTGGTGATCTTGCTTTGACCGTGAGTCCTTTCCCGCAGGTCCCATATAAGGCTCGTACCTGTTTTTACTGGATCTTTTTTCGGACTCTGAAAGTCTCGAATTTATCTTTTCTTCTTTTTGAAATTGTGGAACAGTATCTTCCTCAATCCTCAGCTTCGTGCTATACCTGTTATAAACATCATTCCATGTTGTAGCGGGGAATTCTCAAAGGCTTTCCTTGAGTTTCCTCGTAGCTTCCGAGCTTTTTTCATTCAAATTACTTGTGAAAGCTATAGTTGCCCAGTTGTCAGGTACACGTGGCAATGTCATTCTTTCACGTTGAAATCTATCCATGAATTCTCTAAGCAGTTCTGAGTTCCCTTGCTTGATTTTGAAAATATCCTCCATTCTATTCTCTACTTTTTGAGCTCCCGAGTGTGCTTTGATGAAAGAATTTATAGAATTTTCGGGTAAAAGAGAATATCAGGTTAGCGCTTCTTTGGTGAGTGTTTCACCAAATTTTTTGACTAATACTGATTCAATCTCCTGCTTAGTCAAATCATTGCCTTTTACGCCTGTTGTGAATGCAGTCACATGGTCTCGTGGGTCTGTTGTTCCATCATATTTTGGAATATCAGGCATTTTGAACTTTTTTGGAATTGGAAGTGGAGCAGCACTCGGCTTCCAGGGTTGTTGCGAATATTTATCCATACCTACCCCTTTGATTATGGGTGGCACCCCAGGTATCTGTTCTATGTGCTCACTTTGCTCCTTGTAAATTAGAATTAAATACATTACCTGGTTCTCTCTCCTGAGATTCGCTGGGAGTTCGTCCACCGCCTGAGTTAACAAGCCCAGAATGAGGGTTTTCCAAAGTGTTGTTATTTGGAGTAGGTGTGGGTGTCGCAACAGGTAACTAATTAACAAGTGCCTCAACAGCTTTATTGACCTGAGCAGCAATTAATTTCTGCAAAGCCTCATCAACAGCTTCAGCATTTTCAAATTGACCATGCTCGTTTATTTGAGACCCATCAGGAGTACCCTCACGAGATTGTCGTGGTGAGCCGTGTGCAGTAGAAAATCGAGCGTTAATATGCTGTGGATCTTCCTAATTTTGTTGAATCATTTGGTTTCCTTGAGTGTTATCATTGTTGTTCGACATAGTTGATGCAACAAGGAAAGTTAAGCGAAAAGAAAATAGATTATCAGATTCCCGGTAACGGAACCAATTTGTCTAACCAAAAAATGGATTTTTAGTCAAAGCTAAAAATTTAGAAGAACTCGGGTTACTGATAGTCAAGAAAATGAATAAAAAGAAGTAATTCTGGATAGCAAGATGGTAATCAAGAGAAACAAATAAATCAATGTCTATTCCAATAGTATTTCGTGTCCTTACAACTGATCATATATCTCTTTTTTATAGGTACCTTTGAGAATATACGTTTTGCTCGAATCATAATGAGGCTATTATGAGTAATTAAAGACATTGAATGCTACGTTACACAATCATTACATTCAAAATATATTCTCTAACGTATTCAGCATTTAATGCTCATTAAATGCCGTATCTGCACTCTTTTCTATTGTCAGATTCATTCCTTCTGATTCTCGGGTATAAATGACTTAAATAGGTACGGGCGCCGTGTTACTTGTTTGATGTCCCGTGCCTCTTCTTCTTTCTTTGCTCGTATCTGTTGTAACTCCTGACTCGTGGCTAATTGCGATTCTTTGACCATTTGACTAATCCACGTGTCTTAACACGTCACATTTATATATAAATATAATTTTCCCCAATACAATTACCAAGTACTATACACGAATGAAGAGATTGTGGGAGGAACTGAACACTTTGAGCGGCAAATCTCAATGTTGTTGCAATTGCACATGTGGAGCAAAAGAAACTATGCACGAGGCAGAGCAGGATCGACGACTTATCCTGTTTTTAATGGGCTTGAATAAGGTCTACACAATAGTGCGAGGGAGTATTCTTATGATGAAGCCTCTGCCTTCCATGGCACAGGCTTTCTCTCTACTAATATAAGAAGAAAAACAAAGGCAATTCAAAGCTAATAGTCAACTGAATTTGGAGTCTACTTCACTGCATGTGAATACAAATCCACAACATCAGAATCCACTTGGAGCCAGGAACTTCAAGACGCATTACACAGTCACCAGCATGAATAGGGGGCGTCCATTTTGTGACTACTGCAAAATACCAAGGCATACGAGGGAGAAGTGTTATAAGTTACATGGATACCCTCAAAGCAGTTATACTAATCAGAACTCCAGTCGTGCCATATTCAGTCCTATAATCAGGGGAACAACCAGAATCACAAGTTCAACAGAGGAAAAGGCTCCGTGGCAAATGTGCACAGAGCTCCAGCTGATATGATTCATGAGAATGGAGATGAGCAGGACCTACAGGATGAAAATCAGAATGTGAACTTGAAAAAAGAACAATATGAGCAGATAATGAGCTTAGTGCAGCACTCTCAAGTAGGGAATACATGAGGATCTTCCACAATGACAATGTCACCAATGGTAGTGCCAACTTTGTAGGTATTGTAGTCTGTACTTCTTCCACTGATTTTGACAAACCTTCATGCAAATATTTTGAATAAAAGGCTGACATTTGGATCATAGACTCAGGAGCATCTAACCATATGACTATTGATAAACATGCACTAACTAACATTACTAGACACTCTATCCTCAGCTGATAAGCCTGCCAAATGGAAATAGAGTAAAAGTTCTTGAATATGGAGATGTGATACTTTCTTCAGACATTGTCTTACATAGGGTCCTTTATGTTCCATCATTCAAATATAATTTGATTTTTGTTCACTCCCTCGTAGTACACCTTAGATGTATTGTATTCTTTAGTGATACATTCTGTCTGTTGACGGCCCCTTCAGTGAAGAGACCTCAGGTGATTGGTAATAGCAAAGGGGGACTGTATGACCTCTATTCCAGGTGTTTGAAGGGTAAAAAGGTTGTCTTACCCTCTACTGTTTCAGCATCTTATTGCAATTGTGTTCCTGCTTCTAGTGTAAATAGTCACGAGCCTGTTAGTCCTACTGATTCATGTCACAATCCACAATCTGTAAATACTCTCATTTCAAATAATAAGAATGAGTCTTCATGTGTGTTTGATAAACAAGATATAAACTCCTTGTGGCACAAAGTCTTGGTCATGTTCCTTTTGTCAAAATGAGAGGAATATCCTCTATACCTGCAAAATTTGCAACAAGACAACCCTCTATTTGCCCCATATGCCCTATGGCAAGACAAGCCAGACTCCCCTTTCCTCAAAGAACCAGCACCACCTCCCAATTATTTGAACTGGTGCATATAGACATATGGGGCCCTTACCATGTGACTACCCATAATAACCACAAATACTTTCTAACCTTAGTGGATGACTTTAGCGGATCCACTTGGACACACCTGTTAAGCTGCAAAAGTAATGCTGTTCAAGCCTTAAAAGCTTTTGTAGTCATGATTCAAAAGCAGTTTAATACATCTATAAAGATCATTACGTAGCCATGAAGCCTCTTCATTTTACCAGTCCATAGGGATCATACACCAGAAAACTTGTCCCTATACACCACAGCAGAATGGTGCAGTTGAGAGAAAACATAAGTACCTTCTTGAAACTGCTAGAGCACTTATGTTTCAGTCCAAACTACCAACCAGATATTGGGGAGAGTGCATCTTAACAGCCACTTATCTAATAAACAGGTTGCCAACCACTTACCTAAATGAAAAATGTCCTTTTGAACTACAATATCAAAAGAAACCCAACTACTCTCACTTGAGAAGTTTTGGTTGTCTCTGCTACCCCATTGTACCTAAGGCGCATAGAGACAAATTTGAACCAAGAACCACTCCTCATATCTTTGTAGGATATCTATTTGGAACAAGAGGTTACAAGGTATTAAGCCTAGACACCAAGAGAATACATATCTCTAGAGAGTGATCTTTCATGAAAATGTGTTTCCATTTTCTATGTCTTCTAAAAATGTTTCCTTTCCTGTTGTTCTTAAGTCAGTTTTATTTTCTAACTATGCTGATAACAGTAGTCAGCATTCTCCTATGAATACTGGACGAGGTCCTGCTAGTGTCACATCTCCAGACATACAACATTACTCTAAGACACTTCCCACAGGTGATACACCTTCTCCAAATACATTTGATTCTACATCTCCAAGTGACAACAATTTGCAAACGTCATCTACACCTGTACAGTCAGAAGCACCAGTTTTAAGAAAGTCCAATAGAAATCTTTAGACCCTTGTTTACCTAAAAGAATATGTTTATCAATTGCCTAGTAGTAGTCAACTGCCTACTACCTCTCACTGAACTCCTCCATTAAATGCCTTATTCTCTAATCATCATCACATCACTCCTGATGTTTTATCTTCTGAAAGTCAGCATTCGGTGCAAAGTGGTTGCCATGATAGTGAGCCATCTTCATATGAAGAGGCAACCCTCAATCCTGCATGGCAGACAACCATGACACAGGAATTTGAGGCACTCCACACCAATCATACTTGGGATTTAGTCCCTTTACCAGCTGGGGAAACAAAAATAAGTTGCAAGTGGGTATATAAGGTTAAACATAATGCAGATGGGAGTATCGAAAGGTTCAAAGCCAGGCTGGTAGTAAAAGGATATACTCAGCAGGCTGGGATTGATTACATATAGACCTTCTCCCTTGTTGTGAAAATGACAACTACTAGGGTACTAGTTACAGTTGTTGTTAAGAGGGGATGGGACATATTCCAATTAGATGTGAATAATGCCTTCCTCCATGGAGACCTACATGATGAGGTATACATGAAGGCTCCTCCTGGCCTCGTATTTGATCAGTGCAGTTCAAGTAGGGTGGTCTGCAGGCTGAACAAATCTCTATATGGCCTGAAACAAGCCAGCAGACAATAGTATGCCAAACTAAATAAGGCACTATCTTCAAAAGGGTACCAACACTCTGAAAACGATTACTCCCTTTTCTGCAAGAAATCTTCCTCATCCATTATCTTTGGAGCTGTGTATGTCGATGATGTTATAATTACTGGGACTGTTTCAGAAGAAGATTGCAAGTTTAAAGGCATTCCTGGATCAAAGGTTCAAAATAAAGGATTTATGCAGATTTCACTATTTTTTGGGTCTAGAGGTCCTATATAGACCAGATGGTGTCCTTATTTCTCAGAGGAAGTTTGACTTAGATTTATTGAAGGATCAGTGTTTTGACTACAGTAGTGTGTCCTCACCTCTTGATCCTGCTGTGAAGTTGAAGGCACAAGAAGGGAATCTTCTACCAGACCCTACATACTACAGAAAACTAATGGGAAAGCTCAATTTTCTCACCAATACTAAGCTAGACATAGCCTACAGTGTGAAGCTCTTGAGCCAGTTTATGCAAGCTCCAAGAGATTCCCATTTGACTGATGCATTTCATCTTCTCAGATACCTAAAAAAGGATACTACCCTGGGTATTTTCTTCTCCAACATCCTTGATTGTTCTATCACAGTTTATTGTGATTCAGACTGGGCTGCCTGTCCTGACTCTAGAAGATCTATCACGGGGTATATTGTTCTAGTAGGAGACAGTCCTATTAGCTGGAAGTCCAAGAAGCAGGAGACTGTTTCCTTATCCTCAGCTGAGGCAGAATACAGATCCCTTAAGAAAGCAGTTGGAGAGTTGGTGTGGTTAAGCAGGCTATTTGCAGAACTTACTGTTGCTCAATCCAGTCCTATTAAGGTGTTTTGTGATAGCCGGCCAGCCATACACATTGCCCATAATCCTGTATTTCATGAAAGAACCAAGTACATTGAAGTAGATGTCACTTTGTAAGGAACAAGTTGCAAGAAGGACTAATCTCTCTTCATCATATGGCTACTTACAATCAGTTGGCTGATATTCTTATTAAGGCCCTCACAGGGGTCAAACGTTCAGCTGTTCTCGACCAGTTGGCTGTGAGAACCTCACTTCCAACTTGGGTGGTGGGGGGGGGGGTGGTGGTGGTATTGAGTATACTTATTAATACATCCATTATTGTACAATAGTTAGTGGATATAGTTAACTTAGTAGACTAACATGTATGTATACTTGGAAACTAATGAAATTATTTAGAGAGTTGTCATTATGCCAAGTACACAACCTGTGTCGGTGCTCTAACTCTCTCTATCTCTCGCTCCCCTTTTCTCCTTCTCTCAGAACATTGTAGGGAACTCCATGAAAGTTCAACTTGCTTGCAATCTTAATAAAATAAGAATTAGTTTGTTGTCATGCTTCCTTATTGTTGAGTCATTTTCTTTTACCCTCTAATGGATTTTTTACGTGAATTTACTAATAGTAAATTTTCAAAAATCTCGAGAAATGCGCAGTCAGTTTTGATTATTAAAGTACAAAAGTTTGATGATTGATTAGTAGCAACTTGGTCAAATCCCAAATTAAGAGCCCGTTTGGCCAAGTTGCCAAAATCTGCTTATTTTGAAAAGTACTTTTTTTTAGAAGTACTTTTTTTAAAAGTATTTTTGAAGAAAAACTTGTTGTGTTTGGCCAATTCATTTAAGAAGTACTTTTTGCAACATTTGGTAAATAAATTGTGTTTGGCCAATCTTTCTGAAAAGTACTTTTGAGTGTCAAATTACCAAAAAGGATAGTACCAAGGTCTTATAATTCTTTTAAATAGAAAAATGAACTTACATATTTATCGTAAGAGACTTTTTTTTATTTGATTAAAATATAAATCATAAAGTAAACAAACATATTAAAGATTTAATCAATTTTACATAGATAGTTATACCAAAGCATATGATATTATTTAGTATAATTACCTATTGTTATATGATGATTTGAATAATTAAAATAACATCATTCAGCATAAGTTAGAAGTCTTTCCACGAATTACTATATATTGATAATCCATCATAAGACAATAAGTAAAGTCACTCACACATGATAATATTTCTCAACAAATTTCAATNACACAACGCCTCCATATTAGTAGAAGACTTGCCGCGCATTTCTAAAGGAATATCAGAAGGCTCATTTCCTTCATCAATCTATGCAGTAATGACTTCATTAGCATAATAGTTGAATTTTGGATCGATAGAAGAATAACGACGGATGAAATTATGTATAGCCATGGTAGTTGTAACTAGATGATTTTGAGTGTCAAACTTGAAAGATGGTATTGAACGTAAAATAAAAATAATTTTAAAGATATAAAAAATCGTAAAAGAAATAGTTAAGTATGCTTAAATTCTAATTCAAAAAGAGTAACTAATTATTAACAACACATAATGTATAATTTATTTTATTAAAAAAAATTAATTAAAAAAAACTTATTATTACCTAACCTTTCTAACTTTGTCCCAAAATGCCAAGTGGCCTATTGTGAGGCTGTCACTTGACTTAATGTGGATGCATTTTCTTCTTCGTTTGATAATATATTGATAGATTATGCAATGTAATTGTAAATTTATTACGTATTTGTAGGTCATTTTCTCAAATTAGATTTGATAACTGTTTTACAAATTCGGGAACTAATGGCATATAATAGAAGAAATTATAAATGATTATTTGTAGGAAGAGGATTGATAATCCAAAGAAGAATGCAGATAATTTGCTTCAGTATAAAAAAAAAAAGAAGAAGAAGATAATTTGAAAGTTTACAAGACATTATACAAAGAAAAAAATCAAAAACAAGAAATTTCAATAAAAATTTGGAAAGTTACAATATGATTCATATATATGATATCTTTAATTTTAATAGAATGGTAAAAACTAGAAACAAAAACGAAAAGAAAAAATTCAATTGCTAAGGGATTATTTGGAAAATATAAATTTATGGTAAGGATAGTTTTGTCTTGAATAAATTAATTTTCTACTTCTGCTTCTGCTTCTTGGAAGAAGCTAGAATTTCCTGCTTCTGCTGCTGACCAAAAGTACTTTTTTATATTGGTCAAATAGCTCAAATTTTTTAAAAAGTACTTTTTGAGGAAAAAAATACTTTTGGCCTCTCAGAAGCTTGGCCAAACATGGCTCTAAGACGAGACAAGTGACTAAGGTAGTGTTCAATATTGCTCGTGCTATATGATCTTAAAAAAATGAAATAGACCGTGTTGGTTGCGGTCCGTTTATAATTTAACAATGATTGTGAGTGATTGCAACATCGTGATATTCTATCTAAAGAATAGTAAGAATAGTGGTGGCAAAATAGTTAAAGAAAATAGTTAACTATATATATTATTCATTAAAAATGGGTGGGATAATGAATTTTTTAAAAAGGATCAAATATGGATAAGAATCATATTATCTATTTAAAAAATGGATAATCAATGAGTTTAATTTTTACATTTATAAAACCTCAAATTGGGGGTTCCTAAAGTTTGGGAGATTAGGAATCATATTCAAGAAGTCATGGATAATACGGGTAACTATATTATCGGTCGGTTAACCCGTTTTTTCCCTTATTAAATATGGGTCGAGTCGGATAATTTATCCATTTTTCATTATCCGTTTTGACCCGAACTATATCCGAACCCGACGCGACCCGCACGTTTGCCACTTCTACTTAAGAATGTTAGCTGGACCTTAGAACTCAGAATAATACATTCCTTGTTTAGTTCTTTTTAGGTCTTTCTTTATTAATTTGTTGACTTAATGGTTATATTCTTTCGAGGCATAAGTAAGAAAACTGACATCAGCTCTTGTCACTCTCACAATCTGTGCATTTTCCTCGTTTGGAGTTGGATCCTTCCTTTTCTTTAACTTTTTGTTTTTATTTTTTTCATTTGACAAGCTTCGTACTGGTTTTTTCTACGTGCCAACAGAAATTTAGAATATCTAATGCAAGATGATAAATAAAAAAACAGAAGCGAAAGGATTAGATGATTTAGATATAAGAATTTTATACTATTCTACAAAACCGTGTGAATTTCTAACTTCCACGCATAAAATAATAACCTGACTAAATTAGACTAAATCTAGCTACGCATTTAAGTTTGACCACACACCCATATATGGAATTATTGAACTAACCACTGCTGGTTGTATCTTGTGAATTTTGGAATTGCACTTCATTGTTTTCCTTTTCATTTAATTAATTTTGTGACATAACTAAGAAAATAAATAGCAGTATCCAGTATCGTCAAATATAATTTAATTAGTTTTAGGAGAAAAAATTAATTATTGCTTTCACTTCTATGGTAGCTAATTTCCAACAATTGATCATTCAGAAGTCATTTAAGTCCATTATACTTAATCCAGCACAATCAGTGAGAATTTATACTGCTTTTGATTTAAGAATGTGACAAAATAAAATCATACAGTCAGTAAACGTCAGAAGCTAGCAACCAAAACGGGTTGAATATTCTTTTGACAAGTGATGTGGGAAAGCAAGAATTCATTTTTCTATTCCTACTCTGATCTTAATAGCTCGTCCCTACTGTCAATTTCTAGAAAAATTCAACTCCTTCTTCAAACAATTATTATAAAATTTAACCTAAAAAGGATATAAGACAAAAAACTCTAGGGAACAAATTACTAAACAAAAATTATAATTAATTGAATCCCTATAGTTTCTTGGAAAGAAGGCTTTTTGAAGAATTTGTGACAGAGATGGAGCTTTCACAGCTCTATCAATGGAGCAGTGAATTAGGGCACATGCAGAGAAGATCCTTCTAGAAACTGAGATTGAGAAATGAAGGAGAAGGAGGAATGTTTTCTTGTTGAGCTGAAGAGTACAATGACTGCTTTTATAGATGAAGCAGCTAGACCTCACGTGCACTACATGTGCCATTAACTACTCTTAACAGTAATTCTAACTACCTCTTTAACACTAATAACAAACCTCTAATCTAACTAGAGTTTAACCACAGTTAACTCAGCTTAGTTAGCAACTATTTCAATACTCCCCCTCAAGCTAGAGGGTGGAATATATCGAGCACCCCAAGCTTGGATAGAAGGAACTGATGCTGAGTAGTTCCCAGAGCTTTAGTTAACAAGTCTGCTAGTTGATGTTTGGTATTGACATGCTCAGGCACTATCAACCCTTCTTTGATCATGCCTCTTACAAGTGGCAGTCAATTTCAATGTGTTTCGTCCTCTCATGATAGATGAGATTGGAAGCAATCTGTATAGCTGCTTTACTATTACAAAACAGCTTCACGGGTGTGGTGACAGGCACATTTAGTTCTCTCAGCAGCCATGTTATCTATATTACCTCTGAGAATGCAGCTGCCATACTCCTATACTCTGCCTCTACTAAGATTCGACTCAATGTGTGCTGCTTCTTTGATTTCCACGATATGATAGTGTCCCCTAATTTTATTATGTAGCCAGTCAGGGATCTTCTAGTGTTTGGGCAGGCTGCCCAATCACTATCATAAAATGCGGTCAGCTCTGTACAAGGATTGTTCTTCTGCAAAATCCCTTGACCTGGTGACCCTTTCAGATACCTAACCAGCCTAAGTGTTGCTTCCCAGTGTGAAGTTTTAGGCTGTTGCATGAATTGTCATAGGACCTGGACAGCAAAGCAAATATCAGGTCTAGTGATGGTTAGGTATAGTAATTTCTCAATGAGCTTCTGATAAGGAGTAATATCTGGAAGTATAGGATCTATGATACCCCCCACATGTTCATCATAATCTACAGTAGTGAACATAGCATTTACTTCCAAAGGTGTGTTCACAGGCTTAGCTCCACTCAAGCCAACATCAGAGATCAACTCTAGAGTGTATTTTCTTTGATTAAGCAATATACCATTATGTGATCTCAAAACTTCAATTCCTAGGATATACCTTAGTTCACCTAGGTCTTTGACTTTGAAATTGTTGTACAATGTA